GGCCTCGCGGAGCCGCCCGATTCCGCCCCGGCCTGGGGCTTCCAGGAGGGTCGCGCAGCCCCAGGCTATGACGCAGGCGCCCACTTGGTAACTCTGCCATCTTCCTGCTCCCTCCTCCTCCCTCCCGTCCCCGCCCCCCTTTGCCACCCCGGTTCCCCTCCACCACCCTCCCGCCCTCCTCCCAGACGCCCACCACCCGCTCCTCTTTCCGCAAGATCGCAGAGGTGGCGCGGAGCCCGGCGAGCCGATGACGGACCCCTTCCTCCTGTCTTCAATGCCTCAGCGGAAGAGCCCCAAGGGCTGGGGAGAGGAGGGCTGCCGGACATCCTCCCGGGGGGGCTGCTCCGACCTGCTGCTCGTGGTGTATGAAACCGGGGACTGAGCGAGCCCCAGCCGCCGCCGCTGCCCGCTCCGTCGCTCCCATCGGTCTGGACTGGCCCCCGCCTCGCCGCGCCCGCCGCCCGGCCCCGGCCCCGGGCGCCCCAGGGCTCGCCCCGCGCCCGCTGCCGCCCGCGCGCCGACAGCCCGCGCGCCCTCCTGCCAGCTGCGGCGGCGGCGGTGATGCAAAGGAGGAGGGTGCTGCCGCCGGCGGCGCTGGTGGTGGCTTTCGGCGCCCGGGTGTGAGGCGAGCATCATGGTGGGGATGCTGGCTTCGCGGCGGTGAGAGCGAGCGTGAGCCCGGGGCGGAGGACGCTCCAGTTCGGATTTTGCTGCTGTGTGGGCTCGGACCTGCTTCTTCTTCTTCTCTCTGTCTCTGTCTCTGTCTCCCCCCCACCTCTCTGCCCCCCTCCCTCTCTACCCCCTCCCCACACTTCATTTGTTCTTGGTTTGCATATTTAAAACCTCTCTCCACTCCGTCCTCTCCCCAACCACTGGAAGTCTTGCCGTCTCTAAATGGAATTAGTGGAGATCGGAGCCTCTGGTGTAAGGAACAGACATGATCTATGGACGCAGTTTGTTTCACAGTGAGTGCCTTTCCCGCCGCGCCGGTCCGCTCCCGGGGCCATCCTCCCCGCCTCCCCTCCCTCGTGGCCGAACGCGCAGGGAGAGCCTCTCGCCAGCACCGCGCTCCCGCCGGACCCCGCAGTCCCCGCGAGTCTGGGGCAGATGTAAACTTTGTGTATTGCAGCTTAATAGAGCCGGGCGTGGGGGCGGCGCAGGGCAGTGGTGGCTGGGTCGCAGAATCTGCCGAGGAAAACAGGCTG